ACACAGAATAACTTCACATCTATTGAATACACAACAATTTCCTTTCCTTTATTAAAGCAAGCAAGCACAAGACGACAAATCGTAACTCTCACAGTAATGATAAGGCTCCAAAAACAGTTTGACGTGCGCTATGAACGTCTCGCCCTCCTCGCGCCTCGACTCCCGCCATTAAATTTCAAAATGATGGACTACGATCAGAAAAGAACACATCATTGAAAAGGGGGAGGCGCCGCTGTTCTTTTTCCATCACCTGGGTACAGCAACACAGATAATCTTCCCCAGAGCAAGCCTATTCACATAGATATTCAATCATTACGATAAGTGTTTAGTCATAATCAAAATCAGTATGCTATTCTGGAAAGGAGAAAAATTATAATTTTGAAATTTTAAGCCAGCCAGTTTAATTCATACAAACTTAAGACGTTGTTTAAAATCACAGAGTAATTGGCAATAGAGCGAATTTCGATCGAGTGTCTAAAAACCAGAACCAACGACATCACAAGAGCCAATCACGAAAACGGAAAATAGCAACGAGCCAATCACAACTCAGCGAGACATGAAACCTACCCGAAGCGCAGGAAAACGTAAGAGAACATGGCGCGGTTGGTATCAAATCTTCATTTGATTGGTTCTGAGAATGACTCGCATTTTCTCGATCAATAGCGGAGCGAAGAAAAACCAAACTAATTCAATCCCAAATTCGCTTTGACACTCAATTGAAAATTGCACTGTAATGATTCAATTATATCAGCAATTCCCTACAAATAACAGAGAACTAGTCACTCCCCAAAAACCCTATGTACAAATATAATACAATATACATTCCCAAACAAAATGGGGCGAATTTCACTGTCATGCATAGCAGATGTCCTTAATCTAACCTTTCCCCATATTGTTATATAAGAATGGTATTCAGATACGGCTGCCCAGACCAACCAAATTGTTTTGACTAAAAATATCTCTTCACTTAAAAAGAAAAAAAACCTCTCAATGCAATAGCGATTCAGATTTAAGTTTTAGGTTAAATTTTCAAAACACAGATTTTTGGTAAAAACGGATGAATAATAACTGGTAATTTGAAGTAAAATAGGTAATACATTATTTTTTTCAGAAAAAAAAAACAATTTCGCACGTATACAGAATTAACAATTACGAGAGCTGAGTTGATTTCTTCCCAAAAAAATTTATAATTTATAACAATTATTATGCAAATTATCAAGTTTACGGAATATGTTAAGTACTGTGAACATAATTGTTTTCAGAATAAATAAATAAAGGACTTGCACTGAATTTAGAGATTTAAGATCTCACAGTATTTAAGATTTTTTTATATCAAGGCAGCCATTTCTGGGTCTCGTAATTATAAATTAGGGCAAAAATTTACACTGTTACAGACTGTTTAATATTTATACAATGCTAGCATTATTAATTTTGGTCAAGGTTTGGTATCTCTGCCGACTGAAAATTCAAGAAGAGATTGAAAATTTCTACACGTTTCACAAGAAAAAAGGTTCAAGAAATAATATCACAGCAATATTCCAAGATAAGGAGGAAAACTTTGTTTTTCGCTCTAAAAAAATTAAAGAAATTATCTAAAAAGGAAAGGAATTTCTTCCACTAGAAGATACCAAAGCTTGAACCAAATGATCATTACTACAATTTATGTATATCTGTCAGCACCTAGAATACAAAACAAATTATCATATTTTCTTATGTCAGAGCTCCATGTCCTGAGCTTCATCCTCTGAAAAGTCACTTATGGAGCTTTCACTTGATGATGACATTTCCTCTTGGTCCTTAAGGGCTTCTTCTGTCGCATACTTTTTGATATATTCTAAAAAAAGGTGTATAGCATGAGTTTAAAATCTTGAACAAACAACAGGTGCCACACTGCTTGGCAGTCTGTACGGTGACAGATCACAGAATTTGTCAGAATGTGCTGAGAACAACAGTGACACAGTCTGCTGCACCTCATCAGTGACTTATTTGTTCTTACCACATTTTGATGTCATCTGTGATCTATTACTGAACAAACACAAGGCAACATGGAATTTCTTTGTTAAATTGATTACTCCATTGAAGTGACAATGGGAATGGCTACCTTGAATTTTTGCTTTGTATTGTTCTGGTTTGTGCAGGTAGAG